TTGTTGCCCACCCCTCCATGAAGTGAATTTGTTCATTTTCCTCTTAGAGTCCATTTCCTTTCAGGTCCACTCTCTGAACTTGCTCACCACCACTCCAACATGAGATATTTAAATGTACTCTGTTCCATCATGTCTCTACAGCACTGTGATATTTCTTCTCTTTGGCTATTATTTGGGATTTTTGGCAATAATTACAGGAAAAAAAATATAGGAACATTAAATTACATCAATAGGAACACACACATATTGCCACTGAAAAAAGAAAAACTGAATTAGTGTTAAAAATTCAGGTCAGAATAAGCTGATAAGCAGGTTTTTTAAAAAAATAAGCTGTCAGCATCTACCTTGATGAAATATTTTAAGTTAAATTAAGTAAATCTCTGTTACTGGATAACAGGAAAAAAAAATATATCTAAAAAGTTATAAACAAGTATAACACAACCAGTGCTGTGATATATGTAGAGAATTAGCAAAATTTAGTCTGATGTATTTAATATGCAGTAGAAAACTATTGTGTCACTGGTCACTTTTTCAGCTGGAAGTATTTGTTTCTCCATTTTTATTCTTAATTCTTTCTGTAAGTATTAGTAACATTATATGGATGAAGTGCAATTTTTGATTCCGGCATGCTGCTCTGTTCTAACTTTTACAATGAAGAATTATTTCAAATTGCTATTAATATGACATAGTCCTTTGTATTTTCATATATCTTTCTGCTGAGTGGAAAAAAAAAATGCTGTAGTAAAACTGCTAACAAGCTGAGCCTTTGAAAACATGGGCAGGTGATGAAAGCCACCTCATGTCTAAAGCATCCCCAGGTCACAGCTGTCACACTGACTGCAATTCATTGCTGTCACAATCTGCTGTCCCTGCTTGTTGTTGCTCTCCTCTTATTCATCCAACTCATATATCTAAACATTCCATTACAAAAAGACATCTAATGTTCGTCTCATGTTCCAAAGGGCACAACACTCTTCTGAAATATAATTCTGAAGATTTTAGAGCTCAGAGTTCACTGCCAAATCTAAGGTGTTGTTTTGTAAGGCTTCCCTTGTAATTTTGTCTTTGTCTCATCTCCTGAACATAGCAGGATAAAATGTTTGGTTAGTACATGATCTCAGCTTTACTCCAACTTCTTATCATGAAGAAATGAAATATTGCCCAGTAATAGAAAGGCATTTGAAGCTTTGTGAGTTTAAAGATAACAGCACTAACTGTGAACTTGGCGAACTGGAAGGAAAGGTCAGCAAGTCATCTACCGTGGCATTGTTCACAAAGGCAATTCTCCCATCCAATGAACCAGATTGTTTATAATCTGAAGACTCAGATTTTCTAAGACTTAACTTTGTCTTTGTTACTTAATTTAGATAAGATTACTATTGATTTACTTTTCAGAGTAGAAATTTCTCATAGCTCTTCTAACTTTCAAGCAGACCTTAAACTTGTAAATATCTTGTACTCTAATTTCAAATCTAGACTGTCATTTCAGGTTATAACTATGAACTCCAAAATGAGTGATTCACAAACTTTTAAAACCAACTTGTGGAAACATTATCAATGAGGAAAACATTTAAGTAAAATTAGTGTTAAAAAAATGACCCAGAAGATAATGAAAACAAACCCAAAAAGTCTACAAATGTAGCAGTAAAAAAAAAAAAAAATAAAAAAAAAAATCTAATAATAAACTGTTTTGTGAAAGAAAGCAACTGCACTGTTTATCCATTCCTATAAAAATAAAGAAAAAGGAGGTTTGGCCTTCTCAGTTACATTTATTCTCTAAAACATTTATTTTGATTGCCGTGTGTTATTATTCATAAACTTTACATTGCCAATGCAATGTCCAAAAATTATGCTGATTAGAGAGTTTGCTACTCAGCTAGTCAGTGAATGTAATACAATGAACATTAAAAATCACAGCCTCTGACTACGCCTAGTGAGGAACGGGTAAATTGCCAGTGACATGCCCATGCTCATTGGAAGAAAATCCCCCTAACAATGACCTCATGCTTTTATGTTGTGAGGGTTTATGTTTCAATCCTGTTTGATACTACAAAATAGGAACATAATTACCTGGCCATGCTATCTCTATCCATATGACCATATCCATCTACTGCTGGCAAAAACAGAGAACATAAATCTAGACATTCATTGTATCACAAAGGGGCTGAAGGAAAGAGTAAGAAGGTACTGGAAGTTCCTTAGCCCTTACAGTATTATTGAAATAACTATGTGCAGCAAGACCTTACATTTCAAAGTGAGTTCTGGATGGCAGATTAACACTTGTGTTTATGTATTTACCTGTAGTACATTGTAATACACATGTATTGTGGGCAATATGTCACAGGCCTTGACCGAAGAAGTCACAGCAGAACTTAGGTCGTGTCTCCATCAGGTTCTACCTAAATGTCCCAAACCTGACTGTGCAAACTTTAAAAAAATGTGTATTTCACCCTTCAGTGAGCACACTTTTCTAAATAGAATTTAGGCTAATTCAGCCATTTGAAAACACTTCATTGTAAATCCACATCTTTTTAATTTATGTTTATGTGCAAACCAGATGGGAACATGAAACCTGGTTTGTTAAATAACTTGCACAAGATATTATGCCAGGAGCTGCGCAGAAGTTGGCAGCTATGATTAAGATTTTATTAGCATGAATATGGAATAGTTGAATTTTCAGACACGACAGAGATAAATAGTGTAGATTATTAATACAAACAAATGCTTAAATAAGCAAGATTTTGAAAAAAAAAAAAAAAATCCAGTTAGAAGGTGCTGTTAAAATGTTTCAAACAGAGAATCAAAAATGCTAGGTACTTTCAAAATCTTCACCTATACTATAACTAAACTATCTTTCCAACTAGATGAGCTACAAGAGTGAACTTAAGAAATTAAGGAACTCTGGGATAAGGAAAATTTTCTCGTATGGGACTGCCTATGGTTAATATAATATACATAGGTATATGATGACAGTCTGCCTTTCAGAGTCCAATAATTTTAAACCTACTAGACAGGTTTAGATCAGAAGAGTCCAAATGTACTTCTCAATTAAGTGCTTCCTAGGTCCAGCAACGTTCCCATAATGGGGTGAGATCTGTGAACATACCATGACCTGCTTTCCACAAAAAGACACCTTTTTTACATAGCCTAGGAGCTACACTTTACTTCAAATGTACCCGATTTTGGCAACTGGAGAAAAAGATCAGGGGTCACACTGGGGTATGCTCCCATAGATATATTTAAATGTAGGTCACAGTAACTTAGGCAACCTTAATAGCTAGAACTAGCCTGTAAATCAACTTTATAAGCTAGCAGTCAGCTTGTCAAAGTTTAGAAACAGAAGGTTACCAATGCTAGTGATGGTCAAATTTTGTACTCTTACACATGAAATCAAATAGCTCACAGAAAATGAAAGGGGAAAATAATAGGAAAAACAGTGAAAATGAAGTTTTGTTGCCATAGCAGTTCATATTTTCAGGTGTCATTTAGCATATGCTCCATCCCAATCTTCATTTTATAGATACCTCTATAAAACCAGTGGACACTGTATCAATTAAGATACTTAGAATAAAACAGACCACCATGTACGTTCCAGAGAAGTTTACTATCAGCTAACTTACAAAATATTAATTATGAAAATCAAACAAAGAACAAAGATGCAGAAATCATCATGTAATCAGTTAGTTAGCAGCAGTGTTTATATTCCCAAGTTATGTGCAAGATGGACATGAGGATGTCATCTAGCCTTGCTGAGAGAGAACCTAAAAGAAACAATTCTGAAACCAGTGTCATAACTCCCCATGTTATCAAAGGTGAGCAAGGGATGCCACTGAAGGTCTCCAAAGGAGATTCTATGTTTTAAAGTGCAGGTACCTAAATTAGGTCACCAAACTGCATTTTTCTAGGTCAACAGCAACATAGATTTGTTGACTTTTAACTGAATGGTTCTTTATCATTCTGGGCTTGTTACGCTAAAGAGGACAGGAGCACTTGTTGAATGTCTTAATAAGTCAGACCTCTTCACTCTGTTTAAGTCATCATGAACTTCAACACTTCTGTAATTCTTCATTTGAAGGTCCAAGAAAGTTTAAGTTTACCCATTTTTTGTCAAAGGAATTGCACTAATGGACAGACATCCCACATAGCCCTAACTTATCAGATATCCTTGCCTTTGCATGTCTATTTCTAACATACAAATGCTATATAAAAGCACAAAAGTTTGTATACTTTCTGTATCTCATTTTTTATAACAAGAAGGTAAAACAGATATCTGAAAAAAGGTCAAATGAAATTATAAATATCTAGTAGTAAGGGAGCAAACCCTTTAAAATGAAAAGAGATCATCTTCAGTGAGGAGAGAAGCCTCCATGCCTTTGCTAAGTACCTCTATAACCAGATTAATTTAGTTACAGGCATCAAACAAAACCTAAAATGGGCAGACAGTTTCAAATATTAGGTATTTTGAGGTATCTCTACAATACTACAGTTATGGCCTGCAGATTACTGGGTCTGTTCTGTGCAACTTCATTACATTCTGCTCTGGGATTTGGTAATTTAGGCTCTGAAGAGGTAAAGTATCAAGCATTTCAGCCTTCTTCATATAGTTTGCAGCATTTCAGTTCAAATTCTTAGATTTAAAATTGGAAGAACAGTCTCTTTAATTTAAGAAAGAAGTAATCTCTTCCTTCATATTTTGAAGAACAGTGCCATTAGATTACAGACTTTGAAATATGAGAAATCAGAAGGCTGAATGCTTCAATTTGAGCACTGTTTTAATACTGATTTAGAACAGGGGTGGGGTAACTGAGAAGGTAACACTGGCCACTAGCAGCCTACTGTGTTCCCAGAGATAAAACAGTTGGGCTTCTTGTATACATTGACTTTAGGACTTACCTTATAACATTTGACACCTACCCACCTTTACAATATTTATCATAGTTGTGAGTGTGCCAGAAATTGGTGTTTTGCTTTGGGTTTTTTTTTTTTTTTTGCATAGTTACCTTAATAACAGATGTCTCAACTCTGGATGGAGGACTCTGCACTTGTGCTGCTGCCGCCATGTTAGCAATGGTACTAAGGTGATTCATCTGGCTCATCGCCATCGTGACAGAGGCTGGAGGTAGGCTCACAGGAATTAATGGGTGGGGCATCATCATAAAAGGAAGTTCCAATCCTGGTGGAGGAAAAAAAAAAAAAGGGAAATAGGTTTATGCATCTTTTTAAAATATTGTCTTCTTTTTCCTCCTGATGGACAGTTTTCAAGTGATGGGTGACAAGGTGGTTCACATTGCAGGACAAAGCAGTTCTGTTCTGGGATATGCATGGGTAAATCACTAGCAACCATGGAGGGTTTCTAGCCACAAGGAGAGGCTATTAGACCTCTTAGTTTGTTCATATCAGTGTAATGTATAATATCATTGCTAAGCAATTGCTGGTTATTATCTTTTTTAATATCTGCTGTAAGGTGCCTTTCAATGCATTATTATGTCACTGATGCACAGGTTAGCAGTTATTTTAAGTATCAATTTTATTGCATATGTATTTGTTCTTTACTGTCTTCGCTTCCCCTGCTTAATACTTTAAAGGAAGTATTCCAATATTCCCCATATCTTTGATTTTTTCATAGCCTATTTATGTAAACACAAAATAAAGACAGGAATTGGAAAACTGCTGATGTTAGTGCTGAAAGATATCAACCCGTACCATTTGGCAGAAGGTGGTTCTGTTGAAGAGGGTTGAGAGGATGGCTAACTGGAACATTATGCTGTCCAGGCAAGTTGGGGTGGTTAACAGAGGCCTGTGATCCTTGGGTGGGGGGAGACTGAAGTTTTTCTTTATCCCAAGAACCATCACTGCTGCCTGTGGGGAATGAATATATTATTTGGAATTAATATATATTAATTGGATTTGAAATTTTCAATGTCTGAATTTGTAAGCAAGGCCAGCATTCTAACCTTTTTTGCAAGTGGCAATTTATAGATTTTTTTAGTATGTGGGTCGGGGGAAGGACTTTTGGGGTTTTTTTCTACCCTCTGAAAAAGATATGTAAGGATAACTTTTTAAAATTAAGAATTAGAACACAAACCTAGAAGTATTATAGTTGTGCTCATTCAAATGCAGTTTGTGTTTGATGTATATTTTACATTCACTTTTGCCACTTTTGGCAAGTTTAACCATATATGGCATTTGTTTTATAAGTGAGAGAATATTTTTGCCTGCACAAGGTCTAAAAAAATAATATTGCCTGCTATGCCAATTAAAATTTAAACTACAGTCTTATGTCTTCTTGTATTTGTGTATAAATAAACATTATAGAAAGTAACTAAAAATTTAATTTATTGAGGGCACCAACACACATGCATATGTACTTGGCTGACAGTTCTATTTTGTATATTCAATTTTTATTTCATATTATTAATTAAAATGTAAGGGATTATTAATCGATTCCAGCAGTCTTCTGGTAGTGGAATGAACTAACAGCAAGGAAGAATGTGTACGAATAAGTGTTGAGACAAGCAATAATTCATATATTTGAGAAATACCCTTCTTCACTATTGCAGACCTCCTCATATAAAAATACCCACAGAATTAAACAGAAGAATACCATTAAAGGACAATACTGAAAATTCATATAACACTGTTAATTTCTCCATTTAGATATAATGAAAAGTCTAAAATCTTTCAATCTGACTACTTACATTATTCATGATGCATATTTATCTATAATGTTGAGATTGGGTATATGTATGTTCACGCATATGAAATAATCTAGACAGTCATTGTATGAGTTTATTTACCATATACAATCAATAAACAATGTTTGAATATATTAATAAATATGTATATATGCATGCATCCTCAGCAGTATTAATATACCCATCAGCAATATACGAGTGATTCCTTTTTCATATAGAGCACAATTTCACCCTCCTGACTTTGAAAGTCTGCACTATTTTCATGGGAATTGCTCTTGATAAGGACTTCAGGACAACATCAGTCCGGACCTATTTAATCTATACTCAATTTCTATTTAGCATTAGGGATTACAGCAAAGTGCGTATTTCTGAATGTTTTCCTACATATGTTTTACAACTTCATGAACAACAGGGCCAGAAAAATAACAGGCCTGATATCACCTCCTCCTTATTTCAGCAGAAACAGGATTAGCACGTTAGTCTTGACATTTTTTAACATAGTTTCCATGGGATGAAAAAAGTACAAAAAGTTGGTAGAATTCCAATTTAATTTCTCTAGATCTATTAAAAAACTGATTGTAAAAGCTGTACAACATAGTTTATAATGAAAAATACTCCATTATTACCACGATTTTTTCCCCTAGTTACTTCATGAAGACAGTTAAGGCTCAATATAAATTCTAACTCATTAGCTCACTACTGTCTCAATCCCAGTGTAAATTTTACAGAAGTAGGTAATGAAAATTCAGTCCAAACTCTTCCACAATCAAACAAAACAGTTTTATGAAAAAATGAAAATAATCAATTATATTAAATACTTTTCTTATTTTACAAGAAATTGTAACATCCTTTATGCAGAGTACAGAGTTGAGCTGGTTAATACATTATTTGAATCTCATCCCCTCTGATAAGTGAATATGTTTTCTTATATTTTAAAAACTCAGAGGCTCTCAATAAACATGCTGTACTTTCAAACACATGTGCAACTGACTGAGCTAAATGATATCTGGAAAAAATATTTTTTCAACTTAATTTTCTTTTCTCTTATTTTCTTCTTTTTGCCACTATGACATAAATTTCACTTATTCTGAATATTCTTCTATTAAAAAATATGACTCTGAAAATCAGTTAATCTCATTTAATTTTAGCCAAAATGTAGGTGTTGATGCAGATCCAGTAGAGAAAAGACAGGTAGTTCCAAATGGTTATTCATTCAATCTTAGGGCATGCGTCCATAAAAAAGGTAAAGCTGTTTTTATGATACTTAGGGCTTCATTGAAAAACAACCACTGGAATCACAGAATCATAAAATCATAGAATTGTTTATGTTGGAAAAGACCTTCAAGGCCATTTGAGTCCAAACATTAACCTAACACTGCCAAGTCCACCACTAAACCATGTCCCTAAGTGCTACATCTACACCTCTTTTAAATACCTTCACGAATGCTGACTTGACTGCTTCCCTGGGCAGCCTGTTTCAATGTTTGACAACACTTTTGGTGAAAAAATTTTTCCTAATATCCAATCTAAACCTCCCCTGGTGCAACTTGAGACCATTTTCTCTTGTCCTATCACTTGTTACTTGGGAGAGGAGACTGACACCCACCTTGCTACAACCTCCTTTCAGGTAGCTGTAGAGAGAAATAATATTTCCCCTCAGCCTCCTTTACTCCTGGCTAAACAGTCCCAATTCCCTCATCTGCTCCCCAGAAGACTTGTTCTCTAGACCGTTCACCAGCTTCATTGCCCTCCTTTGGACGTGCTCCAGCATCTCAATGTGCTTCTTGTAGTGAGGGGTCCAAAACTGAACACAGTAATTGAGGTGTAACCTGAGTAGAGAGGGACAATCACTTCCATAGTCCTGATGGCCACACTGTTTCTGACACAAGCTAGGATGCCATTGGCCTTCTTGGCCACCTGGGCACACTGCTGGCTCACATTCAGCCAGCTGTTGACTAACACCCCCAGGTCCTTTACTGCCAGGCAGCTTTCCAACTACTCTTCCCCAAGGCTGTAGTGTTTCATGGGGTTGTTGTGACCCAAGTGCAGGACCTGGTACTTAGTCTTGTTGAACCTCATACAATTGGCCTCAGCACATCGCTCCAGCCTGTTCAGATCCCTCTGTAGAGCCTTCTTATCCTTGAGCAGATCAACACTCCCACCTAACTTGGTGGTGTCGCAAACTTACTGATGGTGCACTCTATCCCCTCATACAAATCACTGATAAAGATATTAAATAAAACTATCCCCAGTTCTCAGCTCTGGGGACCACCACTTGTGAACAGCCACCAATTGGAGTTAGCTCCATACACCGTAACTCCTTAGGCTCAGCCATCCAGACAATTTTTTTACGCAGAGAAGAGTACATGTGTCCAAGACATGAGCAGCCAGTTTCTCTAGGATAATGCTATGGGAAATGGTGTCAAAGGCTTTACTAAAGTCTAGGTAGACAACATCCACTAAGGTGGTCACCCTGTCATAGAAAATCAAGTTAGTCAAGCAGGACCTGCCTTCCATAAACCCATGCTGACTGGGACTGAACACCTGGTTGTCCTATACATGCCACGTGGTGGCGCTCAAGATGATCTGCTCTATAATCTTCCCGGGCAGTGAGGTCAGACTGACAGGCCTGTAGTTCCCTGCATCCTCCTCCCAGCCCTACTTGTAGATGGGCATCACCTTCATTAACTTCCTAACCTTCAGTCAGCTGGGACCTCCCCAGTTAGCCAGGACTGCTGATAAATGATGGAAAGTGGCTTGTTGAGCAATTCTGCCACCTCCCTCAATAATCTTGGGTGGATCGCATCCATCCCCATAGACTTGTATGTGTCAAAGTGGTGTAGCAGATCACCAACCATTTCCCCTTTGATTATGGGGGCTTCATTATGCTTCCCATCCCTGTCTTCCAGCTCAGGGGAAGTACTGGTTTTCAGTACTCACTACCCAGAGAAGTACTGGTCTTAATATTAAAGGCTGAGGCAAAGAAGTCATTAAGTATGTCAGCATTTTCCTCAGCTTTTGTCATTAAGTTTTCTCACGCATCCAATTAAGGAAGGAGATTCTCTTTAGCTCTCCTTTTCTTGCCAATGTATTTATAGAAATATATTTTATGTAGCCAGATTATGCTCTAGTTAGGCTTTGGCTTTTCTAATTTTCTCCCTGCATAACCTCACGACATCCTTGTAGTCCTCCTGAGTTGCCTGCCTCTTCTTACAGATTGCATAAACTCTCCTTTTTTTCCTGAGTTCCAGGCAAAGTGCTCTGTTCAGCCAGGATGGTCTTCTTCCCCACTGGCTCATCTTTCTACACATGGGGTTGGCCTGCTCCTGCACCTTTAAGATTTCCTTCTTGAAGAAGTCCAGCTTTCCTGGACTCCTTTGCCCTTCAGGACTGACTCACAAGGGACCCTGTCAACCAGGCACCTAACAGGCCCAAAGTCTGCCCTGTGGAAGTCCAAGGTGGCAGTTCTGCTGACTTTTCCAAGAATCAAAAACTCTATCATTTTGTGATCGCCGTGCCCAAGACATCCTCCAACCATCACATTAACCACAAGTCATTTTCTGCTCACAAAGAACAGGTCCAGTAAGGACTCCTTCCCTAGTTGGCTCCCTCACCAGCTGTGTCAGGAACTTATCTTCCACACACTCCAGGAACCTGTTAGATTGTTGCCTCTCTGCTGTATTGTATTTCCAGTAGATATCTGGTAAGTTGAAGTCCCCCATGAGAAAAAGGGCTAGTAATTGTGAGACTTCTCACAGCTGCTTATGGAATATCTTGTCTGCCTCTTCATCCTTGTTAGGTGCTCTATAACAGACTCCCACCATGATATCTGCCTTGTTGGTCTTTCCCCTGATTCTTACCCATAAACACTCACCTGATCATCACCATCATTAAGCTCTAGACAATCAAAACACTCCCTAACATACAGGGCTACCCCACCACCTCTCCTTCCTGGCCTATCCCTTCTGAAGAGTTTATAGCCATCCACTGCAGCATTCCAGTTGTGAGAGTCATCCCATCATGTTTCCATGATAGTAACTATATCATAGTTTTCTTGATGCACAATGGTTTCCAGTTGCTCCTGTCTGTTGTCCATGCTGAGTGCATTAGTGTAGATGCACTTCAGTTGAGTTATTGATCCCGCCATCTTTTTGGGGGGAGAAG